AAAGCATAAACATTTTAGGAATTAGAGTTGGGATCAGTAGACATATATCTGCAAAAATGAAATAGATACAGACCTTACACCTTTTATGATTTTCTCAAATTGAATCATGAGCCTAAATGTAAAATGCAAAACTACATTTCTTAGAATATAACAAGGGATTAAATTCTTATGAGCCCGTTTTTGGTAATGAGTTTTAGATGTGGCATCAAAAGCAAAAATTTGTGGAAGAAATTATCAAAATTAAAAACTTGCCAGCCATGTTTGCACACACAATTCAGGAGATGGAGGCAGGAAAATTGCAATAAATTCAGGCTACATAGCAAATTTAAAGCTTGCTCAATTACATGGTGAGACCCTGCCTTAAAAAAATATTAAAACTTACTGTCTGCAAGACATTGTGAAGAGAATGAAAAGATGAACCACAGTATGGGGTTGCAATGAACGGATGTTAAAAAGAACTCTTATCCAAAATATATAATAAACTTTTAAGACTCAATAATAAAAATAGTCAAATGAAAAAATGGGCTAAAGACTTTAACAGGCATCCCACCAAAGATAGATAGGATATGAAATGATGTTCATTATTGCATATCACCAGGGAAATGCAAATTAAAGCAGTGATACATTATTATTAAAATGGTGCCCTTTTCTGTTCAGGTGGCTGTAATAAAACAGCATAAACTGAGTAGCTTAGAAACAAACAAAAACTGCATATTTGACAGTACTGAAGGCAAATTTCAACATGAAGGTGCTGGCATGTTTGGTCTTTGGTGTGGGTCTGCTTTCTTGTTTCACAGAGAGATCTGTGTCCTAATATGAGGAAAATGTGTGGACAGATAGTTCTCAGAGGCCTCTTAGAAGAAAAATAATCCTATTTAGGAAAGCTCTCATTACCTAATAACCTTCTAGGGTCCTTGCAATATAGTCACCTTCCAGAGATCTTCCTGAAGTTGGCTATTAGATTTTGATACATGAATTCAGGGAGATACATTCTAACTGCGAGATTGACAAATGCAGGGCATGGCACATGTCACATGCTGGAGACGATGTGGCTCAGAGAAACCCAATATCTGTGGGAATGCTCTATTTATAGCCACTTTGAATGATATTTTGACAATTTATTAAAAATTTATGTAAGGAGTATTTTATTACTAACGTTTGAATTTCATTTAAGTCCAATTAGTTTTCATTTCATGTGGCTTGAAATCCTCATGTTGGTAAGTATGGATTTAGAATGAAAATCTGTAATATTTAAATATCATAGAGGAGGAAAGCACTGTATATTTATCAGTTATAAAAGTCTAAATTATAGGTGGGAATAGACTACTGTGGTATTACCAATTTATTTTAAACTTTGTATTGATTGGCATATACATTCTCATATAAAAGCAATAGATATGGAAAAATGAATTCAAAGATGAAGTCTACCCTTAATTATCTTACAATCTAAGGGTGAAACCCAACAGGCATTGCTGGTGAATATTGATTAAGTGTTAATGAAAAGTGACAAAATACTACTGGGAACATTTGTGAGAGTCATTTAGCTCAAGGTAATTGGCAAGTTTCTAGTACTTGTTGACAGTACTAATTATGGTCACTTCACTGTTTCTTATATACTTTGGGTGAGAGTTGATATGCAGTAGTTGACATATATGCAAAGAAGAAAAATAATGACCTGTTTCCCACATACCTCATTCCAACAACAAAAGAAGCCCATCCCTATCACTTGCTTTTATCTGAGTTTCACAAGAAGAAGCTACTTTTTTCAAAACCTATTTTGTAAAAATAATACTGCAAGGTAAACTATCAGATATTCAATTTACCTATAATATGAATTTATTCATAGAATACAAAGTTTAAGACAGAATAGGAATGTTTACTTTCTCTCTCTCTTCATGCCTCCCTGTCTCTCTCCCTCTCTTCCCTCCCTTCCAAACCCACTTGCTACTTTGTTTTTCCTCTTTCATTCTTTTGCTAGGCTGGTGAATGAATCTAGCACCTCTCACATCCTAAGCAAGTACTCTAGCAGTGAACTATATCTGAGGCCCTGATTTATTTATTCTATTTTCATGCTGTCAATTTCTCTTTATATATTTATGATGAAGATGCATATGCACATAGATTTACAATTGTAAAATTTGTGAGTACATTAACCTTTTATAACTATGAAAGATTCTTTAACATTAGTAATTTATCTTTGTTTAAAGTCTCATATTTTTGATACTGACATACAAATAATAGCTTTCTTTGTGTTAGTGTTTGCATGGTGTAACTTTTACCACAGTACAAATTTATACTTTTCATTGTGTCATTACATTTAAGGTGTGCAATTGTTAAAGATTTTATCTTTTAATGCAATTTTGTCCATTTACATTTAATGAAATTATTCATGTTTATATTCTGCATCTTACTGTTTTTCTACTTACCTTCCTGTGCCTATTAATTTTTTACCTATTTCTTTAGAATAAATGGTATGTTATTATAAATTCCATTTTCACATTATCTACGTATGTAATGTTCTAGTAAGTAATCCTTAACATTACAGTCTAATAAATGTTGGGTTATTACCCCTTAAACTCGCAATGCTATTTTCTGCTAAAATTTATCAATCTTAGCACTCATACCCAGTTTTATACATTTTAGTTTTATTTTTCTTGAATTCCATGACAGACATATTATTTTCTACAGTCAATATTAACTTACATTTTCTCACATATTTCAATATTTAATGCTTTTTATTCCTTCCTCCATCTCTGTGTTTCCATAGGCATAATTCTTTCTTCCTCAAGGTCTTCTTTTAGTATTCTTCAGATTTCTTATATTGCTGCCAACAAAGTCTCACAGAAAGCTTTTTCATTCTTTATTCACATTTGAAGAATGTGTTGCTTCTGAATAGAATTCTAGGTATATGGTATTTTTAGTGTGATAGAAATACCATTTTATTTGCTGACTTCTGTTGTTCCTCTTGAGACTTGAGCTGATAGCCTTGTTGTTGCTCATCGACATTGCTGTGTATTTATTGTTTGGATTTATAGTTCCTCATTGTTCTTATTTGCCTTTTCAACAATCATACTATGCTATTAAAGAAATGATTTTTCTTTATATTTTCCTTATATAAGGGTTTGGAACTTCTTTGGGCAATCTTTTAACTTAGACCAAATTCTTAGTCTACTGCATTGTAATTATTGCTCTGCCTTGTTGTCACTCTCCCCTCCTTTCTGGAACCCAGTTATGCATTTTCAGAGCTCTGCATTTTGTTTTCTACATTGCTCTCTTTTGTATTTTTCATAATGACTTTCCATGCTTTGAAGTAGTTTTTTCTACTCCATCTTTCAGTCACTAGTCTTTTGTTTGGTCTTTCTCCAACTTCCTATTAAATACTGTTGTGAAATTTTAATTTCAGTTTCTGGTCATTTTTCTAGTATTTCTATTCTGTTTTTTAAAATTCTCAATCTATGAAAATTCACATTTTTGTTACAAATTTTAACATATTTGTCATAGTTTTTCTGAGGTCTACATTGTATCTTTATATGTATTTGTATATGCAGCCCTGATTTTCTTATTTTGTTTTGTTTCATGGCAGGCCAGGGCAACTTGGTTATAAAACAAGCATGGTAAGTGACAATTACTAGAATTTGTGGTTGATATCTGATCCTCTGTAGCAGGTCCACTCTATCATTTAATATTTTGGTAAAGTGGATACAGTGAGGACTAATCACCTCATTCTAATCTGAGACTGTTAACTGATGGCTAGATTGCTCAATTATGTTTGATTCACCCCAGAGACAAGTCCTGCTGTCTGTATGATGTTTGATAAGGTTAAGAAAATCTTCTTTAGCCACTCTTCACTCCAGTCTCTGTATCACCTTCACCATCAAAGGCAGTAAATTCTCCTCAGCTTTAGAGAAGTTTTGTTTAGACCCTTGACTCTGTCTTACTGAGAATTAACTGCATTTCTCTGCACTTTCTTCTGCTCCACATTATTGGAATTCAGTTTCCAAACATTCTGTTTCTAGAAGGTTGTAACAATTTCTCTTTCTGGTTCTTCTTTTTTGGGATCAAACTCCTGACCTTGCACTTAACAGATAGGCGCTTATGCCACCTAGCTAAATCACCGGCCCTCCTCTGAACTTTTGTTCCTTTCAAGATTCTTGACTGTCCTACTTCTGAAAGATGGCAAAAGTGGTAGGGTAAAGTGACTTCTAGACTCCCATCTCATTTCTTTCTTTTGTATCTTTTTTCTCTGGCTTTTGGCACCTCCACGTCTGCTTTGCTTCACTACATTTCTCATGCTTTCTTCGAATTTCTAGAATGTTACTCTTAAAAAGCTATTCCATCATAGTCAGAAGTACAAATAAATTATTCAGTCACTTCTATGTGTCAGGTAGGTACAATTTCTTGCTAGTTAATTTCTTACAAACAACGTTGTATCTTCTCTTAAGGAACTAAATTCTACAGATGACATGAAAACTGAACACATAGGAAGGTAGGTAATTGGTTATTTAGAGTCATACAGATTGAGCTGTAGGAGCTCACAGAAGGAACCTCCTACCTGGGCTAGACATAGAAGTAGGGAAGGTAAGTCAGAAAAGCTGTTTTTTTGTTTATTTATTTATTTTGTTTTTGAGACACAATCTTTGTAGATAGTTCAGGCTCACCTTAAACTCATTATGTTGCCTAGATTGACACTGAACTCATTGTGGTACTTTTACTTTGGTCTCAGGGATTACAGATTTTTCTACCATGGGATTACGGGTTTGTGTCACCATGTCTAGTTTAGGAGGTGTAACTCTTGGAAGGAATTTTAAAGATTGAGATTTAGTCAGCCTTAAGACTTCATCTACTTACATAATACAAACTTTACATATGTCATATTAATATTGAAAAGGTACTGCTTATTGCTAATTAAAACACTAATGGGAGTTGAAATATTAAAAGTATGTTTCAGAATCTAAATTTAATTTTAAAAAACTTAATTATGGCAATTTATTTTCCCATAGGTGTTTAAAAGAATGAACATCCCACAAATCAGAAATCCTTCTCTGCCTCCTGCTGAAAAAATGCCTGAAGCCTATTCTGCAAAAATTGCTCTTTTTGGTTCTGGACCTGCCAGTATAAGTTGTGCTTCTTTTTTGGCTCGATTAGGCTACTCTGACATCACTATATTTGAGAAACAAGAATATGTTGGTGGCTTAAGGTAATGCTTACACTTACTTTATGTTTGTAGTGTTAGAAATGATGAGATAAAACAATTATGAACATTGTTTTTCAAAATCATAGAGAAAATTTAGACTCACAGATGGTATTCTCATGCTCTTTTCCCAAATGTTCAAATTTTGATTACATTTTGCAGTTGGCTTTAAGCAGTATTTATTGAAGAATTTATCTGTCTAATTCTGTGAATTTAAGACACAGTGAAAACAGTTTTTGGTTATTAGGATCTAGTCATATGAAAAAGTTGCTTCGTCCCTGTGGATATTTTCTTTATGGAAATGTATCAGAAAATCACAGATATTTGAGGTGGAGAAAGCCTAACTTCTCAAAAGATTGGTCCTTTCATTCATTGTTTGCTCACATGTTATCTTGCTCATATATTTTTAGTTTGCAATCTCTGTAGTCTGCATTTGATTACAATAGTTGTCACAATTTACTAAAAATTTTCTCTTTAAATCCACATTTTGTAGTATCTCCTTATTTAGTACTTTTACAATTTTTGATATTGACCAATGTTACTGCTATAAATCAGTATTCAGGTACATAGTCATTTTATTCCAGTGGGAATTCCTACATAGAAAGGGAAACTGGTCACTTTTGTCAGTGATTTTCAGATGTATAAACCAAGAATAATTATAATTTGCTTTATTTAAAATAAGTGGAATTCTATCCTGGACATATTTACATTTATGATCAAACATGTAACTTAGTGTAAATCAGGAGTATATATTGCTTAAAACTCTAATGTAAAATATTAGAAAGAATTTGTTGACAAGTTTAATAGTTACCAATTTTAATTGTTTTAACTAAGTGCATTATTTTATATTAGAAACCGTGGTTTGTGAATTGTCACCACTTGGAAATATATTTTTATATCTAGCACTTAAACCTTTTATAAATAGTGAAATATTTGTTAAGCAGGTTTGTTAAACCTTATGTTTATAGAATATAATTTTAATCAAATTCTCATTTAAATTTGAGATGTTTCTCATTTACTAACATTACTAAATGCATGGTAATAAATGTATGAATCTCAATATTGGTCAAGTGGCATCTTGTTACAGCCAAGATAATTTAAAATTATCAACTTGTTTCATTGATATAAATATTTTGATATATTTATTGATACATATATGTATACATAAAGTATTAAGTAATATGAAACTGTTTGAATCACATACAAAAATATTACATAATCGTAGAATATTTTACGAAGGATATGAAACATAAATAACCTGATTGTCACTAAATAATTACTTTTCAGTTTGAGGTTTCATCACTTTAGACTTGAAGGGATTCCATGTATTTTATGAATTATTTTTCCTACAAAATAAAATACTTAAAAATTTATTTACTAGGAGGATTTAGAATATTTTAATGGTGTATCCATGTATTTTATGAATTATTTTTCTTACAAAATAAAATACTTAAAAATTCATTTACTAGAAGGATTTAGAATATTTTAATGGTATATTTATTAAAATGCAATGTATTAACAATAGATATATAAGCATTGTAGGAGTTTTTCAGTTATATATATCACCGAATGTGTGCTAATTTGAAAAATATGAACTTAATTATTGTATTACCTTGATAGCCATGTATTACCTTGATAGATCAGTAAAAATCTTTCTGCTCCTTTATTTTATCTTCACAGGAGCCTAATATGAACCAACCCTTTTTTTTTTCCTGGTCTTTTTGAAACAGGGTTTCATTATGCAGTTCAGCCTGGCCTTGATCTCACTTTGTAGCCCAAGCTAGTCTCGAACTTGCAACGATCCTCCTGCTTCAGCCTCCCAAGTGCAGGGAGCCGCCACGCCCATCTCCCCAACCCTGTTTCTAAATTATTATGTTTTAGCAATTTTAGTAGATGATTATAGTTATTAGGCTCTATTTGTTTTTAATTCACATGCAGTTAGACATTTTGAAATTATACAAATTGGCACTATATTTTCATTTTTATATATTTGTTGAACATTTTTATTGGGTTACACTGCACTGGTTTTATGAGAAAATACTTCTTGATGGTTGTTTTGAAATTTTATTTTCCTTCTTTTCCTTTGAACTTTTACAGTACCTGAGAACAGTAGGAAATGTTTAATCAGTCTTGCCTGTCCTGTTCATTCGTAGTGTCATTCTATGTTACTGTTACATGGTTGTAAAAATTGACATGAATGTAACCAGAATTATAACAAAACATTTCTCTGTTTTCTCATTTCATTACAGATACTACTCATTCTCTTGTATTTTCAGAGTGGTTAAAAAAAGATTACAGTAATATTGTATTTGAAATCAATTACTTAAATAGATGATACAAAATTTTATCTGTCCTCTTTTACTTTCAGATTTTTTTAAATCCCTGGTGAATTAGTTTATCAATTAAAGGCCACTAGGATCAGTGAAAAATGTCCAGAATTTAATTTCTGTTGTATATAAAACTATCAGCTGATTTTTTTTTGTTTCCATAGCAAATTCATAACATAATCAGTGGCATTGCTTTTCCCAAACATGTATTTTAAACATGATATTAAAAATCTTTGCAAGAATTTTAGAGGGTGATTTTGAAGATAAATGGTGTTGAAATTACTAAGTATGCATGTACATATAACCTGATGATTTACTTACAATTTAATATTTATGAATTATGATATTTAATTCAGTAGAACAGTTAATAATATATTGTGCCTTGATATAATTATTTCAAACATTACACTGTTTTTTATAACAATTGTATTTCATGTTGATTGTTAATAAAGAAATTGTAGTCTTGGTCAAACAGATATAGCCTTTGGAAATGTAGGATCATATTATAGCCTTTGATAATGTAGGATCACAAATTTATAATGCAAATTTAATACTAAAGCACAGTCCTACTTAAGTATGAGAACTTGGAAAGAATGTAAAGGAATTAAAAGTACATTCTAACCACATAAGAATAGAAAAATAATTTTTCCATGTTATCTGACATCCCACATACTGTACAGAAAGATTTATGGTTACTGCAAGAAAATTTGTCTGTAAGACCTTAGACTGTTAAAAATATATAGATAGAAGAAAAAATTTCCTACAGGTAGAGCAACCTTGGTAACTATTCTTCCATATCAAATTTTGTTTTCTAACTTTTTATATTCTTTTCATTCTGTATTCAGCAATACTTCCCACTTACACTTTTGTTTTAAGTACTAGCCATGTATAAATTATGTGAACATGGGTATCTGCTCTAAGTTCTCTCTCTGTCCTTATCAACAGATTCATGCATTCACACTCTTGGTATCTCCTGCTTGTAAGATTTGTCCTATCAATGTTCTTCTTCTTTTTGAGCTTGCCATCTCCAAGGTGGCCAGCACCAACCAGCATGGGTATTAGCTACATTATTCTTCAATATCTTGGCATTTTTATTTAATGAATACTTTTAAAGTGTCATTTAACCTCTCCATTTATGATGTCATTTACCACCCACATCCTGCCCCACTGTAGTAGCCTCCAGATGGGTCTCTTGGCTTCTCCTCTTGATTTTTCCTTTCAAAAATGTTTTAGTTTCCAAATCTTATTATATTACCTTACTCATTGTCATAAAAAGTTCTGTTTGACCTAATGTCACATACCTTTTACCATTTCTTCTTTCCTGCTTTCCATTATTATTTATTAATCACCTAATTTATGTTAGTAATTCTAGCACTAGAACTGCAAGAATGAATAAAACAAAGTAGTTGTTCAAATCAGACTTATCTTCTAGTGATAAAAAGACAGATAACAAGCATGTAATAAAACAAGTATAGACTATATCAGATGATGATAAATAGAGTACTTTCAGAAACGCAAGTTTTGATGAGGAATAGAGCAACACAGCACTGTAGGACTCTAGAGACTATCAAATTAAACAATTATTCACATGCTTAGGTATTTTCAGTTGCATAATGAAAACTACATGATAGATCACTGTACCTGGTTATTGTATATTCAAAAGACAAGTACATTGATGAAGGTAGACAGTTTTACATCTCTCCATCATTTTTGCCTAAATCTCAGGCAGCATTGCTTGAAAAAGGCCCACCTAGGAGCAAAAAAAGGAAGTAACTGAAAGTCATTTCCTTGAAATTCAGTAACTGCTCTTGCCTTAGTAAAATCCAGCATGGAGAAGACACTTTGAACTCAAAAGTATGGGCTGATATCCACTGACAAAATCTCTAGAAATGTCTTGGGCCAAACAGAAATCTGTAGTCCCAGCAAAATGAACTTATCTTCGGGGCCACATCACCACAAGCCAAACGCAGAAGCTTTGGGGTCAGAAAAATACATGGCAACATTGCATAGGAACTTGATTTCCAGCTTAGTCTGAGTCCAGCTTTGGCAACCAAAAGATTTCATGCTTCAACAGTATCTTCCACAGCATCCCTGAGCTGTGGAAACTTTGAAACTTTACACTATCTACAAATATCTCAGGGCTAGGAACTGGAAGAGAACAGCTGTCTAGAATTTCTGGACAGGTTGGTGCTAAACAACCTTGTTAGATAATGCTAGTTTATAAACTCTGGAACAGATACGTATTTTTTTTTCCTACTGTATTATATATCAGTGTATGACCATAAGTATCAAAAACATTCAGAGAAATATTATGTTACCAAGTGGACAAAATAAGTTGCTTGTAATTGAGATTATGAACATTTTGATAAATAGTTCATTATAGCTGTTTTGATGACACTAAATGAGTTTTAAGAAAATACAGAGAAGTAGTTCAGGTTCAATAGAGAAATTTAAGAGAAGTTAAAGTAAGAAAAAAAATAAAATTCCTGCAGCAATGATTTAAATGTGTGTGTGTGTGTGTGTGTGTGTGTGTGTGTGTGTATGTGTGTGTGGTATGATGATGTTAAATAAAGTAGGCATTGGATTGGTCATAGAGTGTGAAGACTGAACCAGTCCTCAAAGGGAATTGTCTGCAGGCCAGTGACAGAGTGGAGAAATCAAAGTTTAGTTTAAGACATG